GCCGAGTCGAGTGTAGCGTTCCCGGAGATAGCTTTTTACAAAGTAGATCAAGTGCATAAAAATTACCTTTATAGAACTCTCCCTATAACGTACCATCTCCTAAATTTTTGTTTTGCCTGCGTGCTGTGCATAGGCTCTAAAACAAAACCCTCAACATGTCAGAAACGCTACTCTGACCCATGATTGATTTGTGGGGTTTAACGTCCCAAAACCACCATTTGATTATGAGAGACGCCCTAGTGGAGGGCTCCGGAAATTTCGACCATTTGGGGTCCTTTAAGGTGCACCCAAATCTGAGTACACGGGCCTACAACATTTCCGCCTCCATCGGAAATGCAGCCGCCGCAGCCGGGAATCGAACCCGCGACCTGCGGGTCAGCAGCCGAGTACCTTAGCCACTAGACCACCACAGCGGGGCAACTCTGACCCATGTTGAGACGGCCGAAGGCCCCCAAGGTGGTCTGAGAAAGAAACGAAAAAAAAATACGATTCAGTACCATAAAAACTGTAGTGAAATTAATGACACTAGAATCGTGATAGTACAATTGACGAGTCTAAACTAATTTATGGTTTCATTTTACTGTCCATTTCAAACACGCGCACGAACGACATGAGATAAAAAAATAATTTAATTATTATATTAGTTTTCCACATTTCGCACTTTTCGGAACAAACATGCATGATAAGTGGCTAAAATTTGTGAATATTTCGGTCAGCTTGACTCCAAAGGCATAAACTGCGTACATTACTTCAACAACAATAGCGAGACCGAAAAGTTCCAAGCACAGCTCAACGTCGTTATAGCGAACACTGTTTTAGCAAATTATCGGCTATAGCGAAATAAATATGAACATTGGTTTATCACGCTTTAATTAAGTGTCACCTGTTATTTTTATGACGAAATCAACAACGCGAGAAGGACGGCAATATCGGCTGTAAAGAGAAAAAAAAATATTGCGGTTCACGCAAGGCTCTATAAAGGAAACACAAAATGCGGCAAAATATGCGAGATAAATATTAAAAGACAATTCGCAAGCACATTTTCCAATAAAATTTACAGCCACATATTTTCTTAAATAACTATCAACTCAGGCCTGTTGCGCCAGGCTAACCTCGCTGGATTGATTGCCATTTCACATTCTGATGTCCAGGTCTTTATAGTTGGAAATGCTAAAGTGGTACATAAGGATTGATTTTTTTATAAAGGGCGTGAAGTCTATAATAACTTCACGTTTTTATGTGTATAGGAATACTGTGCGAGGCTGATTGTCAGTTTGTTAGAGCCGATCTTTATTTTTACTGTTACAACGAATATCGGATGTAACGAACTAACCGTCGTACCGGCGCTACTTCACGATAATATGCGGCGCATCTGGGAGCATTGTATGTTTAGAAGACCGTCCAAGTAATTTTCCCTTCAAACTGTGTTTCCCTAGACACCGTCGAGGTCTTTGTTTAAATGCTATTATAATGAATAGAAATGCCAGGCGGGCGTGCTGAATGCACTCGCGAATCACCAGGTAAACGTATATCTCAACATGTGGGGCAGCTCGTTCAAGTCGAAACGAACGTTAATTCCAAGTGGTCTGTTGACATTTCTCAGCAGGATACTGGGAACAAGAGGATGTGACGTGGGGCCTTAGAGAGTGCTCTGTGGAGCGCAGTAAAGGTGTTGACTGTATGTAAAGGATTGCGCTCCATTCCACAAAGAGGAAAACGAAGAAAAAAAAAAACTCGCAGGGTTCCGTATCAATTCGCTTGGGGTTAGCCGAAAGCAAGAGTCTACCCACCCCGGTGTTCTAGTGTTTATGGTGCTCGAAGGCCGCGGGATCGAATCCGGGCAAGGGGGGGGGGGCGCCATTCGATGAATGGCTAGAGACCCTGGCACTCATATTTAGGTGCACGTTAAATAACACCTCGAATAGCGGAGTTGAACTCCTCCAGCTAAAGCTGGAGCTTACAAACAGGGTTTGACATAAATTGAGGACGACGTAGCTAGCAATGGAAAGAAAACCTTAAGATAGAGGAAGAGAGCGGAGTGGGTCAGGGAATAAACGAATGTTTTGTTCCAGAAGGAGACATCGAGGACGACGCAGCTAGCAATAGAAAGGAAACCTTAAGATATAGGAAGAGAGCGGAGTGGGTCGGGGAATAAACGGGTGTTTTGTTCCAGAAGGAGACATGGGCACGGGCTGGGCACGTATAGTGCGCGGGATAACCGCTGGTCATTAAGGGTAACTGACTGCATCTATAAAAAGGGGAAACGCGTCAGGTGATAACTGATGGAAAATTGCGCGGGCAGATCACATTAAGAAGTTTGCAGGTATAGCCCGGCAGCAGAACGTCCACTGCAGGACTTTGCTCTGCAGTGGACGTATCAAGCGGGTGGTGGTGGCGGTGGTAATGAGGATGATGTTGTTGATGATGATGTTGTTGATGATGATGATGATTATCATGATTATGATTATGATGATGACGACGACGATGATGATGATGATGGTGGTGGTAGTGGTGGTGGTGGTGGTATGATGATGATGATGATGAGGAGGAGGAGGAGGAGGAGTACACATGGTGGCCATCTTCCCGGAGCCGTCCACTACAGCTTCCCCCGTAACATATCGTGGTTTTGGGACGTAATACACCAACAAATATATCAATATTAATTAATACTGCCCAGCCGACTGACATCCCTTTCATACCACACCGTTATACCTATACGACAGGTACAAACCAATCACTAATTTTGCTACGTTGCAAGACAGAATGTGAGGCCTTAGCACTGTCACATTTTTTGTCGTTTCTCCACACATTATGAAGACATCGTGTTTCTCGGCTACTGCTATAAGTCATCTGTAACTTCTGAATCTGCGTGTAACTCAAAGTGAAGCCGTCGACACGGGGAAAATGGCACGTCACACGCAAACAGTGAAGCAAACGTCAGCAGAATGCTGCAAAATAAGTGATATGAGCCGATCATACTTTCACTGTGTCTGTCACTGCGCTCTCTTTTTCCCACTAAGGGCCTGAGCAGTCATATCCCTTCTTTCAAACGTGGCCGCATGTATCTTTAAGTTTCCGTTTACGTCGTGCCGATGCGGGAGCTAAGTTTATGGCATCCTAACACAAGCCTATTCTGGCAGCGTGTCTGTATAAAGGCAGTCTACATAAAAAAAAATGTGGAAAGAATACTTGATCTTTCATCTAGCAATCGCTTCCAAAACGTATACGTGCAATACTAGAACCAATCATTTATTTAATTGTTAACGACTTTTGAGTGAGACAGCATACGGCTTTTAGAAAGGAAAAATCATTAAGAAAACAAATCGGTTTACGCTATCAAACAGATCCTCAGCTCAACAGATCAAATCCTCGACTTATAATAGCAAGCTTCAACGTATCAGTAGCCAAACATACAAAAACTTGTATGTTTCAACATACAAGACCGGGAACTTTAAGTATTTGCTTTCAGCTGCGTGTTTACAGTACCGAGTTCAAGTCAGTTTCGCGTGCATAGCTATCGATAGTGTTGGCCTCTGCATTCTTTTTGCGCAGTGTCTTTTTTAAAATGCGTAGTTTTTGCGAGGGTGGCACATTCGTACGGCATTGTTTTCGTGTTTTTTGTTATATTAGCACATTGAGCTCCGGTTTTACTTTTATTCTTGTGCGGTAACCGAGCATAGCCATCTTTCTCAGAAAAAAAAAAGTCTAAATACGCAAATTTTCGTAGTGTCCATGCACGACATAACGTGTTTTACATGTATGAACGATACCTGAAAAGAAACAACTACCGGCCAGGGCACCCACTGACTTGTCGTTCATTCACTGTCACCAAGGATATGCGACCCCGTGAAGGAGTCAGTCGAGCGTCAAAACCTTTGCGATGAGCGTACTTTTGACAATCTGGCAGTTTGAGAACGCTATATACTGCGCATGCATCCTTCCGCTGGTGAAAAAGGCGCGAAGCTCCCCTTAGAGATCGGAGGCTTTCTTTCCGGCGATACCGGTAGTCTCGGCCCCAGTGAACTCCTGCCAAGAACGGCAAAAAGCAGCAAAGTAAAATAAAAAAAAACAAATTCCGCCGCCACCTATAAAGTTTTTCACCCAATATACCTAACTTTCTAGCGATTTTAAATTATTGCTCCATAATGGTTAAACAATACATTTTATACTCTTTTCTTCAGTAAGTGAATTAGTAATTCAGTAAGCATGGCACTGTCCGATTCATGGCCTATACCCCGAAGTGGGTTGCATGCGCAAGATGTTGAGGAACCAACCAACCAACCAATCCTTAACAGCATTACAAAGTTAAACATCAATAAGGTTAGCTACGAAACTAATGTATAACTTGATTGGGCGCGTGTGCAACATGCTGCGATTTCGCATTTCGAAAACAAACAGTTTCTACGTGCAGTGCAATGACCCTGTGCGTGTTCTTCGACACCAGGAGCTGCAAACACGGCAAGACAGTTATAGTTCAAGGTTAATTATGGTAACTTTGCAGCGCAAACAAACGGGACAAAGTAAGCAGGTAGATAAACAAGCGCAGTTTGTGTACGTTCTTACTTTGTCCCGTTTGTTCACGCTGCCAAGTTGCCATAATGAATCTCTATACCAACCAGCCTGTCTATGAACTCTTCTGAATATAGTTAAAGCTATGCAATAACTGTAGATTCCACAGTAACTACATGAAACACGAACGCAGACTACTGCACTGCTGGCGAAGCTTCCCGTGACCACGATCGCGAAGGAAAAACCACCCGCTCTACAGCGCTAGAACGCAGATGTACTTGTGGAAGCCGCGCGCATCTGGAACTGAGCTGCTTCACGGCGTTAACTACAACATCGATGACAGGCCGAGCACATGAGTGGCATCGTATCGTTGGGACAGTGCGCATGAAAGTAAATGGCATTGATGTCCCACGTGGACAAAAAAAAAAAAAGAAAATGTACAACCCTACTGCAAACGAAGCAGACGAGTCGTTCTCGAAAAGGGACACGTCTTTCCAGAGGACAAACCACGCTTCCTGTATTCCGTAAGTGCTGGAAAGTTACGCGGTTATAAGCCAGCGACGCGCAGCCAATCACTTTTCTGCGGAAGCACAAGGCGATATACTGTAACCGTTTGAGGTCAGATGTTCGCACATGATCTTCAAGAAATTCTTCTGGGCGTAGTACTCGACGTAGTTGTCCATCTCCCCATCGACGACAACTAAGGGAACCCGGGCGACGTACGACTGTATCCTCCACGTCTGCAGGCCAACCTCCAGAAGGTAGCGGGTTCCCTTCTTGGTCACACACTCTTGAACCAGAGACCACTTGATGCCCGTGCTTTCGACGCACTTCTGTCCGGCCAGGTGCGGCTGGTAGCTCTGAGACATGCACGCGATGATCTGGACGACTTTCAGCTGCTCCTTGACTACATGCACGACGCAAGTCTCGATCATGTTGCCCATGCATTCATTCGTGCCGTGCTGGCAGGTAAAGTGGGGTACCGGGGCGCTGACGTTGTCGACGTGGGCCTTGCCGAACGGCAGGATGGTGAGGTTCATGAAGTTGCTCAACTTCTGGAATGTGGGTAGTAGTTGGCCGTACATGAAGCGACGGCTGTAGGGGCAGTGCGACTCGTACACGACGGTTACCTCCACTTTTTTGGTAACGGACACGACCGAGATGACAGGCTTGGGCGTCGTTGTCGTAGTCGTTGTTGTGGTGGTTGTGGTCGTGGTCGTTGTCATGGTGGGAGTAGTTGTCGGGGCCGTCGTCGGGGTAGTTGTCGGTTCCGCTGCCGGAGTAGTCACCGGAGTAGTTGTCAGTGCCGTTGTTGGCACCGCTGTCGGAGTAGTTGTCGGGATAGTTGTCGGGGCAGTTGTCGTGGTAGTCAAGTTCTCGGTGTGAGGTGCCTCTATGACATTAACAAACGCCCTCTTGTAGTTCTTTCCCGTTAGACTCCCGGCGTTCTGATCGTCGTCGTCATTCTGTGAGCCGGTCTCGTAATGCAAGCCATTGTGGCAAGCCGGAGCTCCTGTCACCAGCGCCGTTGAGAACAACAATAACACCACAGACGCCAAGCAGCGGCTCAGAGAGCCACCGGTTCGAGCGCGTTTCATTTCCCGCTGCGTCACGCGATGTTCCGGTTGTTGATAGCGCACGGCACGAAGTTATGTTCCACAACACACGCGAACGCGCCCAAGGTCACTCGCCTTAATCACAATCAAGCATCGATTGAGCGTACCTGTCGGCTACGTCGTCAGCTTGTGAGAAAGGAAGTGTGTGAAACTGTCGACGCGATTTATGTCACTTCCTGTGGGTCTCCGTACACAAACTTCGTTCGGAGCTCTCTTAGAAGAATGCCTTTACGGAAAGGCAAGAAGTCAGAAACCAAGCGGCGACTAAATGTGAAACACTTTACGCAGCGCGAGCGAGTCGGAGAGGCCTGACATTTATGGGAAGGCATTCTTCGTAGGGTGGCAGCTGTTTTCTCTTTAAAGTTCAAAACGCGCCCTTTCGACACAGGCTCAAGCCTTGACCATGGAATAAACTAGATGAGAGACGCACCTGAATAACTTGTTCGTCGTAGAGTTTTAGCAAACGTAGGACAGGTGCCTGCCAGAACAGTTGGAGGTGTGAGAGCAAACGTCAATGCACAGCGGCAAAATCTTCTGACAGCTGCGTCAAAAGATTTGCCGGTCACTTATTGCAATGATCGACTTACTTATCTGTCGGCGAAATTATCAGAATCTCCAATGCGAGAAGATTACTCCAAGCTAATCGATTTGTCTTCGATTTAACAGCCTGTTATCGAAAAGCGTCATACCATAGCGCGAAGACACAAATATAAAAACACCTGTGTTCAATGTCTCTGTGCCTTTGTGCCTTCGCACTACGCTATGAGGATCAGCCATCGAGCCCAACAAGAGGTACTCCTCCACCTGTAGAAGGTTGTCAAATATTCCGTCTTTCCTTTTCTCGAATATTATCGCTCTGATTGGCAGATTTCTTTTGGCGGGACAACGGTATTCCAAAAAATAGCGTTCCACGAGGGCCGCGAATTCTTCGGTAGGTGAACAAATTATTCAGATAATGAATGCATGTGGGTGAACGCTTTCGTGGAGTCTCTTTATGTTGTTCAATGTGCGTTAAAATAGGATCGTTCTGTTCGTCTTGAATGAACGAACGCAACGCTGTTTTTCTATACGGCATGGATGACTGCTTTATCACTTCATCACTGTCACTGTAGTGGTGCGCCTTTAACAACTGCGATAAGTTGTTACCAATTAAAAAACTCATCAATTGTCGTGACACATGTCACATAGATGCAAATAAGCTTTTTAAACGCGAAGCGAACTTTGGCGACTTTGACCTTATATATATATATATATATATATATATATATATATATATATATATATATATATATATATATATATATATATATATATATATATATATATATAAGGGAAAGAAGTGTATACCTAAAGGCTCGTTTTTCCGTGTTTTGACACAATATTAATGAGATCTAACAGACAGTAATGCCAAGGAATTACGGTCTGTTAGATCTCATATATATATATATATATATATATATATATATATATATATATATATATATATATATATATATATATATATATATATATATATATAGCTACCCATGACATTTAGTTCTCCTGGCTGTTTCGATAATCTATACCAAAATTGGTATGGCATAACATGACTATGACGAGCACAAATGACTAGTCATAACATTAAAATTACGGCTTGTATGTAAGTGAATGTCATGATTTACATGTGATGGTCCTGCTGCTCTTGCGGGAGTTTCTTTCACATCACATATTGCAAACCTGGTATGATATGACATGACTGCATGGAGAAAATAAGTGACGTGCCCTAAAGTGGAAATCATGACTACACGCCACACTCATGGTGCGCTCGCGGTCGTTTCGCTATAGCTTCACATATGCCAAATTCGATATTATAAGGGACGTGAATGGATGACGAAGATGTATGACATTTTCAAACATGATAATCATGACATGAGTGCCATGTAAAACATGACTACCGCTACGCTCATAGAGTGCTCGCGGCCCTTTCGCTAGCCTCACATATACCAAACTTGGTCACATTACGTGACGTGAATGGATGAAGAAGGTAGATTGCTGGTGCAAACACAATAGCCGTGACATGCGTGCCAGGTAAGACCATGACTACATGCCACGTTCATGATGCACTCGCGGCCGTTTCGCTGGCTTCACATATACCAAATTTGGTATTACGTGACGACTATGGTAAAAACGGACGACTATGGTAAATGAGAGGTCCATACGTAGTAATAATCACATGCATGTCATGTAAAACATGGCTACGTGCTGCGCTCATAGCACGCTCGCGGCGGTTTCGCTAGCTTCACATATAGCAAATTTTGTTTACGTAACGTGAACGGACGACGAACACAAATGCCAGGCGCAAACATGATAATCATGACATGAAAGTCATGTACAGCATAACATATCAACCTTCATTATTCGTGATTCGCATATCATCGATACCCACTGTACGTGGGGTCTGCCAATTTGTTTTTAATCATGTAGCCTCCATTTAAACAATTCTGTTTCACTTTAGTGAGAAACAGGGGTGTAGCCAGGAGTTAGTTGATGGGGGAGGGGGGTTAGAGTCCCCTAACACCCCTCCCCCCGGATGCGCCAACATTTAGAAATTAAACCAAGCACTCCCCATTCCGGCATCATTGTCCTTAAATATTTGTGTTGCAGTTCGATTCTCAATCTCGTTTGTAATCTAATCCATCGATTGAGAAAATAGTGAATTTAAAAAGGCACACGATTATTTATCTGGCGTGTTACATTTTAACTACAATTTCGCATCGTGCTTTTTTTTTACATCAGCCGCCCACACTTATCTTTCTCACTCCGCGTAGTTTTAGACGTGAGCTATATAGGCCCTTGAAACAGCTTTCACCGAGGCTGCACTTTTTTTTTAATTGTTCCTGACGAACAGCAGACGCCGACGATTCCGTCAGCTTTGAGTCAGCAGCGCACATTAAGATGGCGCCACACTCCTGTGTTACATAAATAATCTGCAGCAGCAGCAGTGGTAAATGACATACAGAGTTATGTGCTCCCCTCTGCCCCCCTCACCACTTTGTAGAAAATTGTACATATGCTGAGTCACTGCACACAAGTAACAATAATAGTGAGAACTAACAGACAACCTTGTCAAGGAAAGTATAGGGGATGCTATTAGTAGTACATACTATGTAAGTGCTAAGAAATAAATGTGGACAAAAAGACGACTTGCCGAAAGTCGCAGGTTCGATCCCTTTCCACGGCAAGGTATCTTTTCGTCCACTGTTCTTCCCTCCAATTTACATTATAGTTACTAGTAGAAACAGTCCGCGGCTATACCTGCCTTGACAGTGTTGTCCGCTAGTTATCATTAATATTGTGCCTGACAAAGAAAAACGGGCCATTAAAATTTCCACTTCTTTCGTTGCGCGTAAGTATAGAGATACTCTGAACGGTAAAACTGATGTAGCGCAGTGTAGTTACTGCATGCATATTAATATTTGGAAGGTATATTTTTAGAGTTACTGTATAAAGGGTACTGCATACGCACCCCTAGAGGGAATGCAACCCTTTAGCATAGCCATACTGCTATCTTCCAGAAAAAGTAACTCTAGCACAGATAGATATCGTTCTAGCTCAGCCACATAGTTACCCTAAATTGAGTGCTAGAGCCTTATATCATAGAGAAACACACTTCTTATATCGCCCCGCCGCGGTGGTCTAGTGGCTAAGGTACTCGGCTGCTGACCCGCAGGTTGCGGGTTCGATTCCCGGCTGCGGCGGCTGCATTTCCGATGGAGGCGGAAATGTTGTAGGCCCGTGTACTCAGATTTGGGTGCACGTTAAAGAACCCCAGGTGGTCAAAATTTCCGGAGCCCTCCACTACGGCGTCTCTCATAATCAAATGGTGGTTTTGGGACGTTAAACCCAACAAATCAATCAATCATCACTTCTTATATCGCCTTCCAGCCACCGCTTCATATGCACGTCGGATACGTCACTGACAGCAGCTTGCGCGTTGTGACCTGTTAAGAATTAAAGTGCTCAAACTGGACGAAGAGACCAAAGTTGCGCAGGTTAATCGGGAAAAACTAAACGTCAGAAAAGTATTCATAAGCAAGAGAGAGACGAGAGAGACGGAAAAAAAAATCAACGTTTATGTCTTTAAATCAGCAAGTACCTCGCTCTTTTGCTTGTGCACTTCTTTTCTCTGAAACCACAAGGCCTAGGATGGAAAACTGGGCTAGTTGGTACGGATTGATACTTCTGATTGTGTCTGCGCTGACTGTGACTGCGCTAAAAGAGTCGACACTGACTCTTCGCGCAGACGACATGAGCTGACTGTTTGCAGAGTCAGCACATGTCGGGTGCACCTCTTTCATACCTCGTCGGTTTTTTTTCTTTGTTTTTTTTTGTTTTTGCGATCGCTGCACAGTTTCAAGTATAAAACACAACCCTACCTGGCACGGATCGCGGGCACCGCACGCACGCATTCGCTATTTATCGGTCCATCAGGCGCGCATTTTAAAGGAAAGTCGCGTAAAGCGGTGGGTTGTCGGGCGATTTCACTCGAGTCAGAGTTTCCACAGCGGGGCTCGTCTTCGTCAAGGTATCAACTGGCTTTCTTAGAAACGCACTCCCCCCCCCCCCCCCCTAAATCTCGAATGTGGAGAAGGAAAAGAGTAAAACGTTAGCGTAAGTTCGGTCTCCTCCTTCCCAACAAGTGGTGTTCTGCAGGGAGAGTGAGAAAGGTGAAGATGAATACGCTGCTCTGACGATGACACGGCCTCTTGCCGAAACAATGACTTCGTAACGTGCCCAGTTTAATGACTTCTCGTCGCTTCAGGCAACATTCGATTGATATTGACCAACCGTCATTTTAATTTTCAAGTCAAAAGGCTTAGGTGCGACATCAAACGCAAAAAGCAACCGTCGGCGACGTCAACAAGGGCGATGGAACAAAATCACCGCACGATGACGCCGCCCTCTCGCATCAAAATGACGTCACAGGTCGTGATTTGTGAGTTGGTCATGTAGACGTCACATAACACAACGTCACATGATGACGCCATCACGTGACATCTTTGACTGATCAAAGGTGAACCAATCCTAGAATCCGTTGCAAAAACAAACAAACACATTGGTTGCAGACAGTTTACGGGGCATAAATCGACTGAGAAGAAAAAGGTGACTTTCTTCGAGCTGTCTCAGTACGCGAATTCCTAAGAGACCACAAAGTTTCCTTTTTTTTTCTTATGGTGTTCTTTTTTTTATTTTTTGCAAAAACAAGAGTATTTAAGTCCAGTAACACTGCTAGTCGGGCAAGTCCCGCCCTTGTGTATTCTTCATTTTCGTCTCGTGTTCTCGCACCATTTCTAACCATGAACACATGACATGGAACAACTGAAGCGCGACTGTATACCTTTTTCTGAAAGTCCCGGCCAGAGGAGACATCACGATTCAAGATTTCCAGAGTTAGTAGTATCGTAGAGTTTGCGCAGTAAATATTGCGTGCACGGTTTCAAGGCTCAAAACTATCATACGCTCACACAGTAGTGGGCTTACACGGGATCGATTTGGCTCACGCGGGGTTCTTAAACGTGCATCTCAATCTAAGTACACAAGGGTGTTCTCGCATTTCGCGACCATCGAAATCCAGCACACGAATCGAAGCATCCTCGACCTCGGCAGCGCGATGCCTAGTCTTGCTAAGCTATACCACGGTATAGGCAGCGTAGAGACCGAATTACACGTTCGCGCCTGTATTATGCATGTGATCGCTACTGGCTGTACAAGCTTCAACATCAATCCATAGGTGGTTCGGGGTGAGAAAAAAAAATGTTCCTACAAATTACTGTTCTGTTATTTTGTTTAGTATCATTAACTTTGGCGTATTTTAACAGAGTTTGATGAAAAAAAGATATCCTCGTTTATTTAGGTCACTTCCCATCCTTGAACGTAAACAGCAGTTATCGCCAAATATCAGCTCAAGAGCCGCGATTAATTATCCTGCTGTAGTAATGCCTTATAACGTATACATGATGCAACTTCACAGCCCCCCTCAGCTTAAGTGAACTGTACATGGCTCCCAAAAAAATTATAGTGAGAGCATGACTAATGCTCGCACTATTTTAATGAATGCATAGTCGCGATTGGCATTTGCAACATCCCCGAAAGGTCCGTCATTGCCGACTCATGCTCAAACGTTAAAAGAACGCAAAAAACAAACAAAGAAAGAAAAGTGAAGAACGACAAACACGGGCGCTGACTGGTAAGTAAATGTTTATTGCCAAAGAAGGAGTGTTCTTTTGCTTCTTGTTCATGCGCGATGGCTGCTTATTATTTTATAGTTCTTTTCGTTCTCTACCTTTTCTGTTCTTTTATCAATAAACATTTAGTTGAAAGTCAGCGATGTTGTGTGCCGTTCACCACTCGTCTTCGTTTTGTTTTTGTTTTTTCGCGCTGTTTTTCAGGCGAAAGCCTTTAATCGTTAACTTGAGTCCATCCGTCCTGGTCCTGGAACGGTGCCAGCTGTGGCCTCCCCCCTCGTTGTCTTTTAACCGATCGATTACTGAGAGTGTAAAAAAAAACAAAAAAGAAAAGAAAATGTAGAAAACTATTCTCTTTTCAAAATCGGTATAACACGACATTGAAACTTATCTCGACAGAGGTAGTTGTGCGCGTGTTGAGCTTTATTTCGCCACAAGAGCGACGCAATCAATGCTACAGCAACAAATTGCAATTCCACGCGAAGAACGGCCAGCTGTCCGAAGCTTGCCGCGCACACCTCAAAGCACAAACGAAAGAGCATACACAGCACGAGCGCGAACAACTATCACAATGAAATCTATGAAATGAAACTGTCAAAACGGCAATCGCGTGTGATCAGCGCGCTCCTTTCGCAAACGCGGCCGCGGCCGCAAGCGAAGTGACTGTGCTTTCTTTGACCACTGTAACTTCAAATCAAACTAGCGGTGGCAGCCCGAGAGGGAGAAAAAATAGATGCCGTTTTTTGTTCATTAAGTATTACGGCTAGGTGGCGCTAGCTACCACCCGATCTAAAGGGTACAGTCATATCCATCCATCTATCTATCCATCCATCCATCCATACCATCCATCCATCCGTCCGTCCGTCCGTCCGTCCGTCCGTCCGTCCGTCCGTCCGTCCATCCATCCATCCATCCATCCATCCATCCATCCATCCATCCATCCATCCATCCATCCAGTACAAGGAGCCCGAATTCCGAGATAAGCACGCGCGCCAGCGAGCAGTCTGACCGCGCCATCTGGAGGCGTAGCGACGCGCCGAGTGGCGCGGAGAGCCGACCTTTTGAGCAAGGTCGCCCGACGCAACGCGCGTTTTTCGCGCCACCTGGCTACCGATGACAAAAAGCAAGCTGAAATTGCCGAACTCCGAGGACCGCCAACGATGCATTGTGTATATAAACGGCTTGCCGTTAACACCCTCGACAACATACCTTCCGTGGCCCATTGGTTGGCGCCGCGCGCTGTGGACTGAAAATTGGCTGGTTCGACGCACCCGCAAGGGAAGTTTCATGCCGTCTTGGACTGGTTGTTTTGGAGTGCTACAGAGCGCTTTTGCGAGTGGCATTGTGTTCGGCTGGTTGAAAGGGGACGCTCGCCTCGCGTTCAGCGTAAAGCCATTTTTAAAGAGCCTGTGTCCTTTTTCTCGTGCTACGTCCTTTTATGCTTCACGAGTTTGTACGACGTGACTATAGATCGACGTGGCTATAGATCGACGATCTATAGATCGACGCGTTTATAGATCGTTCATTTAGAGTCTGCATATATGCAGACTCTAAATGGGCGATCTTATAGTTTACACGGGCGTTGCCACCATGCGCTGTTAAGCAAATTTTTCGTCATTCTTGTATCTCGCGACATGAGTTAATGAGATCGTGAAACGTCGAATGCACCAATCCGACAGTTTTGATGCGTATACTACCAACATAGCACGGTTAGTTTAGTTTAGAGGTCGGCAATCTTTTGAGGCGAAGAGCCAAATTGAATGCAGCCGATACAGCGGCGGGCTGCACGGAAAATTAGAAGGGCGCGGGGGGGGGGGGGGATTGCAAGCAAAGCGTGAAAATTCGGCGAAGTAGACACTAGTTTTCTCATTTTTTAAACTGGATTAGAAATCGTGTTTATTACAAGCATGCTTGTCACGAAGTTGCAGTGAGGCGTAACTTAGTGGCGGAAGTTCCATTTTAAGTAAAGACCATCACGTCGGCCCCCAGCCAGAAAGTGCCAAGAAAAGGAGGGGTGGGCATTGTGACGCCATGGCGAAGGCCGCATATAATACTGCCACACTGGCCGCGGGTTTCCGACCCCTGGTTTAGTTGTTAAAGGTACAACGTGGCGAGGCTAGCATCGAAATAAGGCGGCACCGAAAATCTTCCATGAGACCGTCGTTAAAGCATTTGAAGGTTTCGTGTTTTCGGATTAATCCGAAAAACTCCGATAAACAGCGACCGGCAAAATTTTTATAATTCAGATTTATCCTATAAACTCCACCTTTAACATGCATTTTCAACGTTCAAAGAGCATTTTTAAAACTGAGATTCATCAGTGGAACGGAGCGAACATTATTCAGCAGTAGTAAGCTCGTCAAGTACGCTATCGTCTATAAAATAAGCTTTAAAGTTGTAAAACTAACAAACGCTGGTGTTTTGTATTCAAGTACTTGTGCATGTGTGCATATGTGTTTGTTCGTTCAAACCTTCGAGACATTTAAAATGCAGCTAGTGTACTTGCATGTTTTCGTGTTAAGATATAACTACATCTAATATTTTACTGTATTGAGAATAATAATAGTAATAGGTCCTTTATTTTTCATTTAGAATATGAGAGAAGGCAAGCAGCTTGCCTAGCCCCTGGCTCCCAATAGTACAATTTCGGGAGTTCACAACAGTGCAGTGATGTGTTACACCAGTGTAGTGTGGCCCCATTAAGAGGACAACCAAAGAGCAAGTGAAAAAAAAAAATGGGAGGATGGAGAAACAGCATCACCAGCAACTACTGCGACGCATTTTCATTAGAAATAAAATCAATAAGAGCACATTGGACAAGTTATAATGCAAAGTTTATCATTGAATTTCGGAGAATCGGGTATCTGTGAGAAGTAAACTCCGACGAACACCGTCTTTTCTGCAAAAAAAAAAAAAAAGGTAAACTCCGAAAAACACCCTCCGAGTTTCAAGAAAAACAAACTCGAAAAACGCAGAGCTCTAAGCATTCTGTATTTCATTTTGTTTGTATTTTTCTCGGGACGGGGGGGGGATGAAATACGAATAAATCGATGCCTCAAGATTAAACTCGGTTACAACCCAGAGGTTTACAACTTAATGGTGTCTTTAACTGGTCGTTTCGGAGCGTTCTCCTACGAGAGAGAGAGAGAGGTTGCATCTTTTCCTTTCCTTAAACTCTCTCTCTCTCACAGGAGAGCACACTTTCTGTGACAATTGATGGGAAGGTATGTACGTGAGCGAAGCTACAGCTCTTGTACTCCTCCGCAAAGCTTCGGCTCGCGTTTGGAATGGCGGCCGTGTTCAAGTAATTCCACTGCACACAACTTAATACGTCCACTTACACAGACATTTGTGAGTGAAATTCGACACAAGCTCCTTCGGCGAGTCGTCGCATTAGCTGGAGGGCGACGCGCGCTAACCTAAAGACCAAGACGCCATTTTGACTGTGAGGTGCACGTAAAAGGTGCGACGGTTTCAGACGCGCAAAAACCAAAGGAAAACGCGAAACGACTCTTCAGAAAGCAACAAAAAAAATAATGATATCTCTTCGGTGCGTGCTGCGTCTCTTTATAAACAGCATCCAATAGAAAGTAATGTTGTCCTTTCTTACTATTTTCACGCGGAAAACAAGGACGCATTTGAGGCACTATATGCTACGGTGGTGGCACATGCCCACTTTGGCTCCGTAGCCTTCCCTTCATTGTTACAGAAAGTCGTCCCCGATCATAGAGCACTCCGGAACGCCCAGTTCAAAGATGGCGTGAGAAGAAGTAGCTTCGCCCACGGAATTGTAACGCGCCTGCCCTTCTGCCAGAGACCATCATGCTATAGCTGGTTTCCGCTCGAACCGTAAACACTTCGTAATCGGCTAATGCCGCATACTTTTTTTCCCCTCGGCTAATAAGAGTTAAAAGTCCTTCGTCAACACCCACGAAATTTTGTTTGTCCGACTATCAATGTCAGTATTCCCGACAAAATTTACCAGCCAATTTCTAATCTGAAACCAGCAACACAATGGTGTGTCTGTATGGTAAAGTGAACTACTTGAACTACTTGAAAAGACGTGCCAGCAGTTACAACATTCGTCAGTTCTAATGGGTGTTCGTCATTGTAGCGTCTTTATAAGTTATTCTATGAGGTCAACGGGACGGCTTTCAGCTCTCCCATAGTAGGGTACTGAGTACTCTTAATCGTTAGCCACTTTTTCTAAACACTTTTAGCGTTTTACTTCACTCCTCTGTCTGCGCACGGCACGGTTTTATGCTCTCCCATACTAAAGTACCGAGTACTCTAAATCGTTAACCACTTTTTTCTAAACACACCTTTAGCGCGACGGCTCAGTGCTCTCCCATGGTCGAGTACAAAGTACTCGAAATCGTTTAAACATTTTTTCTAAACACATGTTCACCTTAGCGCGGAGCGCGGACCCTGCCACGGCCGCATCATGGGACGGTTCTTTGCTCTCCCATAACAGAACATCAAGTGCTCTGAATCGTTAACCATTTTTCCTAAACACCCCTAATTAAGTGTGACTCTGTGAGGCCCGCGGGACGTCTTTCAGCTCCCACATAGTAGAGTGCCTAGTACTCTATATCGCTAACCACTTTTTCTAACACACATGACGCCATCGAGTATGACGTTTGGTTTACTGGGACAGCTTCATGCTCTCCCATAGTAAATAGAGTGCATCGTACTCTGAATCGTCGAACACTTTCTATGCACACAAAATGGTTCGTCAGGGGCTCAAGCATAGTAATAATAGAGAATGATCATTGCTCTCCCGTCGTTTAGTACGAAGTACTCGAACTCGGTAACACTGTTTTTCTAAATACAAGCCGGCACTGGGACAGCTCACGGAGCTTCCCCGGTATTGTGCGTATGGTGCTCTGAAGCGTTCATGATTTATCCTGAAGTTTGAAAACGAAACACATTTGGGCGAATTATTCGCGGCAGGCAGAGCAACAGCTGTGGGCGGAGCTGACAACATTTACATACGTTGCAAATGAGTATGGTCAGCCAACGTCCACCCATTGTTGCGAAAGTTTCGTAGCTTCCCATTGTGACGTCACTGTTGAGATACAGCAAGCTGCAATTGACGCGTTTACGCCGGCGAAAATTTTCTTGCTTTCACAGATCTCCGACTCCGTGCTTTTCGTGCTCCACAGGAGCCAAAACATGATTCAGGAAGCTCGGAAAACGTCACGAAAGCCACGTTGCAGGAAATACGGACTGCGAAGAGCTACGGAGTGTAGGAACACGCCGACGGGAACGCTGCTGGCGCCATCTCATGAGATTTCCACAATCACGCCGGCTAAATTACTTTGCTTGACTTTTCTTCGCCGAATCGGGAGAAAAAACTAACGATTAGTCTAATGCACACTAATTAATTGTTGTTACCGACGCATCTGCACCAGTACGTGCATAGGTGCGTATTGTTACGCGCGAAGTAATACAGACAGCCAGCAGTTGACGTCTTAAATCTCCAGAACCAGACCAGCAACAACGTTTTCTTATTTCTGCATTCCTAAGCGGGTACCTTCCACAGCGAATGGACACTATACGTACTGGTTATGGCGTTATTGCACTTCTAAGAAAAGCATCGTCTCGATGCTGGTTATGGTGGAAATAATTGGGTCGTCAGACAAAATAAATATGCTGCTTCCAATAGGTATGAGCCACTATACAGCCTTTGATATTACAATTAAGCTGAACATGTTGGCGTCAAGCTCTGCGAGATAATAATCAGGCTACGGGTGCGGGCGTTTCACTCATGTTTTGACAAGGACACGGGACGACAGCGAAATAGAACTTTTTTTGTTTTTGTTTTTCGGTTATGAAAGACGCGCTGGGAGCTTTGTTAATTTTCGATTTGGTATCGCAAGGCGCTTGGGTTTCAGTGAATAACTTCGCTAGTTACATGACTGAAGAAGTGTTAAGTTGTACGGCCGCACAACCATGGCCCGCAACATAACGTTAGTACTATTTAGGCGGTTTCCGCGGAACGACTGTAAATTCGAAGAAACACCAAATTAATATACTATACTCAACAAATCAGGCATTTTAAGTACGATAATGTTAAACAGTGCTTCATGATTAACACCTGAAATTGAATATATTGGCATTAACAGGCGTTAGTATCAAAATTAGACTCATAACATATGGATAGCAGTTATGAGGTTAAGATAATTAAAAATATCTGGGAAAGCTGGAAAATCGGGTGACGAGCAGGGCAACTGCTACCGACAGCCATATCTGTCTAATGTTAATGAAGAAAGGAAAGGCACGAGGCAAAGAATAAAAATTTTAAATGGCACACACAAGAGAAAGCAAATTTTAGAGAAATTTAACGTAACGAAATGAGCTTGGGTAACGACACCGAGAAAGTTTGCTAAAAAAAGCGCTGAAAAACCTGTTAAAGACCGAAATAACAAAAGAAAAGTCACCAAAGCATGTCCTAAAGACAGCGCCGCCTCCATTTAGTATCCCGTTGACGGCGCAGCCGCAGACGTGGTACTCGACGGAGCTTCGGTGGTCTCGGTGTCGTTACCGGTCAGCGCACCCTGCGTCGCGTTCCGACGGCCCTGACAAGCCGGGGGTCGGTTCTGCAGGCGGGCGCAGATGAGCGACAGCAGGTCGGTCTGCGCCTCGACCTGGATCACGTGGCTCATCTCGCCCTGCACGCGGATCAGGGGCACGCTGTCCACGCTGCCCGTGATGCTCCACGTCTGCTTGCCCATGTCCAGCATGAGCAGCTTGCCTTGCTCCGTCACGCACTTGTCCACCAGGTGCCACTCCAGGCCGTACTTCTCGACGCAGCGACGACCGACGTGGTGAGGGTCCGGATACCGGGACATGCAGGCGATGACCCGGACAGCGGTCAGGGTCTCCTCGACGTGCCTCATAACGCACGTCTGGACCATGCTGCCGTGGCACTCGTCTTCTCCGCGGGGGCACTTGACGGTCGGACTGGACGTCGAGTTGCGGTCGCTGCTGGTGCCGTTCCTGTCGTCGCTGTAGGTGTTGTTCCCGTTGGCGTTGTTACTGCTGTAGGCAGGGCGGACATCTTCTGCGGGCTCCGCGTTCTCCGTACTTGCCGCCTCACCGGTGCTGTTGGCGCTGCTGGGAGTTGCAGTGGCGGTGGTGTTGCCAGCAGTATCGTTACCCCCACCAGTACCGTTCTCGATACGGGCTCGACCGAAAGGCAGCAGGGTGAGGTGCATGTACTCACGCAGCAGCTCGTACACGGGTAACAGCTGGGACACGATGAAGCGCCGGCTGCGCGGGCAGTGACATTCGTAGACCAACTGGACGCTGACCTTCTTCATGGCGACCTCGTACACAACGTAACCTGGCACGGCGGGGGGGCTTCTGGTTTGGTTCAACCACACGGACGGTCTCGACGTTTGGTTCGTCGGCGATTCAGTAGTCGTGTCGTCGGGCTCTTCGCGGTGGGACCTTCTGTGCCTCCTGGTACTCCTGCTCGTCGACGGCTCTTCAGTCATCGTCGTCGTGATAGTAGTAGTCTCTTGAGTCACCGTTGTGGTCGTCGTGGGTTGCGTGGTAGACTGCGTACTAGTCGAGGTGGTCGGGGTTGTCGACTCCGTAGTTTCCGCAGGCGTAGAAGATACGGGTGGTGGTGGCGGTGGCTGTTCTTCGGTTTCGTTCCGCTTGTACCCTCCTTGCGTGGGTTGGAAGCCACCGGGAGTGGTGTCGTTGATCTCATTGTCGGAGACGTTGGCGCTCTTGTAAGTGTCGTTCAGTCGCCTTATGCCCAACAGGCTGCTGATCGGATAAGACAATGCTATCGCGAGCAGCACGAGCGCCAAGCAAGACACCGCAATGCAAACGTACTTGGCGGGTACGACGCGGCGGGGCGGCCGCTCGGGTTGCTGCAGGTACTCGCGATCGTCAACTCCAGTCGCGGCACCCATGGCGCTGACTGTACAGAGCTCGCAAATGAGCCGTTTGCCAGCGGATTCGAGCGAAAGGGCAAGGTTGAGCTTCGTGGTAGGTGCGATGCATCAAACGACCTTCTTCTCGCTCTCTCTCAGCGCGATCTTTCTCGCGTTCCGGAGACAAAAGGTGATACGCAGGTTCGTTCTGTACGTGCGTGCGAGCGCACTTGGTATTTGGACGACACACACTCTCTCTCTCCCTCTCAATTTATTTTCGCTTTCCGCATGCTCGCACGCCGGGAAGAAACACGCGAGAAATGCCGCATCCACTCGCATATACCAGTCAATAATTACTTCTTAATAGAGCATGCAGAAGGCGAAACGTCTGAAGTCTCAACCGGTTCGTGTATATATTGTAAAGTTTACGAAGTCATACACTTAAACATTTAGTAATACATGATATCTCTCTTTAGGAACGGCAGTGCGTGAACTATAGGCGCGAGATTGCGTATAAAGACCGTAACGAAAAAAAAAAAATCGCAGCATATCCCAGGAGTGAATAATGATGAGTGGGGCGAAGCGTCCGTCAGTCCGTCCACACATACGTCCGTCTGTTCGTTCTTGCTTTCGTCTGTCTGTGCGTTCATCCGTCCGTCCGTGTGTCAAGCAGACAGACAGACGATAGACAGACAAGGCCAGCGGATGGTTCAAGGTTTGCCGATGAAACCCTTCGAATCTTCGCCCCACTCATCATCATTCACTCCGTGGATATGCTGTGAGGTGGTTATACTACATACATGCATACATACACGTGACGACTGGCCCACACCTTAATTAAGAAACTCGCCCTTAAAACTGCCAGGCCTGCACGGAACGCACAGCACAGTCATGGTAAAAAGCTGTAAGAGTGGCCTTTCTATAAAATCTTAATTCTATAAACTCTCATGGAGCAACTACATGGTACCCAATGCTACATAATTCCTAAAAAAAATTCCCTTTTTTTTTTTGTCGTGGCGAAGTGTCTACAATACCATTACTCATCATTCTTCAAAAATCGTTGCTACGCACTTGTGAGGTATTCTATGCACTTTGTTGATGCTGTAGCTGACGATGAATCATGCCTGATCGCTTTTGTGATCGGTCGGAGCCTTCAACAAGCCAGGCAATTCACATTGTGTGACATGTGATTGTTACTTTACTGTTCGACAATGCTTTATTACGTCTATCTATCTATCTATCTATCTATCTATCTATCTATCTATCTATCTATCTATCTATCTATCTATCTGTCTGTCTGTCTGTCTGTCTATCTATCTATCTATCTATCTATCTATCTATCTATCTATCTATCTATCTATCTATCTATCTATCTATCTATCTATCTCGCCGTTTACGTCCCGGTGATCTCGTGATCACCCCCTTAACTTGGCGTGAAACAAAATTACTGCGTGAAGGTAAGATATGGTTTGACGAATATGACGCGCTGGTCAATACATGAATAGTGTCACAATCCCACCACGTACGTCGCAGAACACTTCGCACCAGACAGTGGCACATACCCGCTGGTGGGTATGTGCCACAGGTGATAGACACTCAGTATATCCCCAGACACGACGAGAATACAGATAGGCAATTTTAATGCAATAGCGTTAAGGAAAACCTGACACCGGTAGCGTTGACCCGACGAATACAAAGAATAGATGTCAGGGTCGGAATCGAGCCCGAGCATTCTGCGCGGCAATCAAGTATTCTACCACAGAGTCAAGCCAGGTCACGGGACTACTTTTCAAATAGACCCTATAGTGTTCGCGAAACGTCAATTGTGGTGCATTGCTGGCTATCCAATTTTATAAAAAATACATATGTACGCCTCTGATGCAGCCGTCACGTTGGGATAACGGCGATTGTAGTTATGTGTCATGCGCTGACATTGATTATGTCGCACAATGACCAGGGCTACTATCCTCGCGAGCAGCAGCGCTTCATATCAGCTTATCGCTTCTGTTGTTGGTAATAAAGAGTGTTCCTGTTGGCATCGCTGCGCAAGTGCCAAAAACTGGTTATATAAACATCTGCAGCTCTTCAACACATGTCTAAGCGTGCAACATTTATACATACATTTAGCGTCATGTCATGACGTGCCACTCAATAAAAAATGACAACACGGTCAAGTTCCCTCCACTTGCTTTATATAGTATCGATTCCCAGAGGGTGTGGGATCTGCCAAAGTTTTTATTCATCTTTTTTTTCCCCTCATTTCGCGTTATATTGGTTACGGGTGGCTGTAACAACCGCGGGACTTGACAGAAATGTACGTACAATACATGCGATATTATTTGTCTCGCGGTTTGTCTTCCACATCATTTTTCCGTGTCAAATTCATTTTCCTATAGCCTCTTTTCTAGAGTGTTTCTGTGTTTTTTTTTCTTTCATCTTCGAGTGCATGGGAGCGGCATTGTCTTGAGGAACCATTGATTGTCTGCTGCCCTTTCTCTTTTAGTGTATGTATTATATGTTGATCCGAATAATGACAATAACGGCCGCAGTCAGGCTGCGTGTGGCTTAAAAATCGGATTAATCAACTGCAATGACATTATACGCCACTGTTAATCGCCTTCGGAGAACGCAAAGCTAAAGGCTGTCGTGTTATAGCTGATGTCGCCGACGGCTTCCTCAACCTCGCCATCCACGGGTATCCCAGGTATCCGAGGTGCCATGACAACTCGTTTAAGAGAGTGAATGCGAGCCAGTTGGTGCGTATCTATAGTTTAAAAAAATTATACCATCTCTCGCTAAGGGGAACAATGTATAGACACGAATCAGCGGGCGCTAACGCTTACACTGGCGGTGGCATTGACGCTATAGTGTCCATCGCCGCGTTGCTCAGTAGAGAAACCCGGGGAGGCGCAAATCACGCAGTGATGATCCGGTGTTTTCTACTGGAACTTTTTAACAGCGAAGCTTAGAAGTATCCCATTTTTTCTCTCTCTCTCTCAGTAGATGGTGTTGATTAACTTCCTCCTCCACCCCAAAGCATTTTGCATTCAACGTGTTTTTGCATGGCCTCCGAGATGGCGGGCGCATGGCCCGTTTCTCTCCGGCCGTCCCAATCGCCGCGCTCCCTGGCGAAACCAACGAGTTATCGCCTCGCGCACCCGACTACCGCGAGAGGGCGCATTCACTGTGGATTCCGGCGGCGGCGGAGAACGCGGTAGACGGCAGAGCGCACGGGACTCCAGTGTGCGCATGGTTATTTTTTTCTTTTTTTTTTTTTGACAGCGAAAGTTGTAAGTAGATCAGAACGCGGGTCACAGGCGGCGCCGTATAGTTATCCGCCGCCACCGGTGTCCGTAACCAGTATCGAACGAAAAAAAAAATTGGTATGTCAAGAACACCAATGACACCAGGGTCCACTGCGTGCCTGCCCATATTCTACCACTGAGCCACGCCAGTTTTTTTTTTCCTAGATGGTATTTAATTCAGATGCGGCTTACGTATATACATAGCGTACAACATACATAAGGTCAAGTCGACAAATGTACAATGAAAGTTGCAAAGTAAATCTTATACAACACAATGTCTAAGAGGGTATTTGAGTAGCACACTTCGTGAACTTAGTATACCAGTGGTTGGACCTCGTTTCTGAACTGGCCTTAGGCAGGCTTGTCGTCGGGAAAGGAATCGGGTTAATACGAGTAATAAAGCGTTTTAGAACATTAAACGAACAGGCAGGCGTCACACAATGCGAATTACGTAACGACTGGGTCGTTCTCTGCTCCAACCCACTAAAAAACTTGTCCTTGCCCCACCGCGGTGGTCTAGTGGCTAAGGTACTCGGCTGCTGACCCGCAGGTCGCGGGTTTGAATCCCGGCTGCGGCGGCTGCATTTCCGATGGAGGCGGAAATGTTGTAGGCCCGTGTTCTCATATTTGGGTGCACGTTAAAGAACCCCAGGTGGTCGAAATTTCCGGAGCCCTCCACTACGGCGTCTCTCATAACCATATGGTGGTTTTGGGACGTTAAACCCCACATATCAAATCAGAAAACTTGTCCTTGATCTCCTATAACTGTGGTACATGCCCACTCGTCATCAGCCATAGCAATAAAAATGCACAAAATTTTCAACAAGTCCGTAGTGGATACCACGCTTCTCCAAAGAATGACGAAGGATAGCATAGTTACTATATTAGTCATTATTTTCTTGTTTTTTTTATCATTCTCTGAATCTTTGTTTCTTTATATAATGTTTTCCTTCTGCATATTTTTTTTTGTAAGCAATAGTGCACTTAGCGTCTATGAGATACTATATGTTTTCTTGGCCAATTCTCCAGAGTGGGTATGTGTCATGGATTACAGGCTGCAAACCAACAAACAAATTCTGGACACTACACAAAATTTATTATTATTTATGGCGCAGTGGGTACTTAGCATGCGGTGTGCTTGTAGCATCCTTCCCAAAGATTGCTTAGAAAGAGCTCTCAAAGGTCACTCTTTTAGCTTCTAGAAAAGGCCACCTTTTAAATAGATTGTTACCCGTGAGCGTAGAACGCGGTACTCTTCCGGCTTTGCGTGCTCATCACGCTCTCATCTTTCTTTCTTCGCCAGCGCCATCTATACTATACAGCCCGCAAACTTCAATATACACCAAGTTACTAGCACACACCGATCTCTTGCAGAGACATCGCAATTATAAGTGCTCTAATATGGGCGAAGCAAATATTTAAAAAAAAACATTTGAGTATACATCCGTCCCAACATTGACTTTGCCTCTCGTACACCTTAACCCGACATTCCCAATTGAGCGCGAGGCTCTACATATAAGCGCAAAACTATTTTTTTTTCGCCACGTGGAACAGCGCGGCAGCTTTTTCGATCCTCCGTAGGAGCGCCACGGTTCAAAGAGCGGGCCACGCCCACCTCTAGAAACGCGCTCTATCGGAACGGCCGGAGAGAAAGACGCCGCGCTCGCCCCATCTCGGAGGCCATGCCCCCGGGTTCGAAGGTATCGGAAGCGCGCTGCACGTCACGTGGTTCTACGGTGCAGCTGGCATCGTTCCACCTTCAACCAAGCGATGATGCCATGTGATGATGTAATCGTGGGACGTCACAGTGACGCCACAGAGTTTTGTGATCTGCGACATCAAGTGAAGTCACATAGTGACGCCATCACGCGGCGATGACTTCTTGCGTTCCTCGTG